CACACCAGCCACTGAAGTGTCTGGTCCTACCACCACAACCACATTAACAGGACTGTCTGGTCCTAGCGCCACACCAGCCACTGAAGTGTCTGGTCCTACCACCGCAACCACATTAACATTACTGTCTGGTCCTAGTCACACCAGCCACTGAAGTGTCTGGTCCTACCACCACAACCACATTAACAGGACTGTCTGGTCCTAGCGCCACACCAGCCACTGAAGTGTCTGGTCCTACCACCGCAACCACATTAACATTACTGTCTGGTCCTAGTCACACCAGCCACTGAAGTGTCTGGTCCTACCACCACAACCACATTAACAGGACTGTCTGGCTTTAGAGCCACACCAGCCACTGAAGTGTCCGGTCATCAAGCATGAATAAGCTGAGATAGAGTATACATTTTTTTTTATCATCAAGTGAAGCGCCGGAGTAACGTTACAGTTAATTAAGAAATCATAATGTTTGAGTTTTATTATAATAAAAAAAAATCGGAAATAAATATTGTGTATTTGTATGTGCAATTCGTTTAGAATTATCAGTACTCAATTTGGACAATCGTGTCAGCTTTCTTTGTGGAATTATTGTGTCATTATTCATTTTGGATTAATGGTTTTGTATTCAATATGGATTAAAGTGTAAGTATTCGAATTAAGGTAATATGATTTCATATCCTATTTTGGATTAGTGTGTCAGAATTATGTTGAAATTATTGTACAGGTATTGAATTTGGATTATTATGTCAGTATTCGTAGTGGATTAATATATATGTATTCAATTTGGAGTAGTGTTGAAATATTCTATTCGGGTTTATTGTGTCAGAATTCGGTTAGGACAATTGAGTTAATATCCTGTTTAAATTATTGTTAAAGTATTCAATTTATGAATAATTGTTTCCTGTTGGGATTATTGTCAGTATTCTGTTCGAATGATTGAAAAAATGCTCCGTTGGGATGTATATCGACGATACCATTCTACAATGATTATCGACCACTAAGCAGCGATGACTTTAGACGGACATTGTTAACTGATAGAAAACATCAACGAGAAGACATACAGTATCTCAAAAGGAAACATCTTTTGATATTTGACAATTCAACAACGTTGCCTTCAAAGAAAATTGTTAATTTACAAATACACGTATTGTGTCATTTTTATTTTATTGATGAATCTTTGATAGGTTTGTATAGATTTAGTCTTAAGAACCTTGAGATATACTATCAATACCCAAACATCCAAAGAATTGTGAAAAATCCCAACACCAAAAAAACTTCTGAGAACGTATCAATACCAGAAAACTGTTTGACATTGGAGACTTGTGTCTAGAGCCAATGAAAGGCAGTGATAAACTTGACAGCAAGGTTGATGTGTTTTGATAACTGTGACAATAACGTATATTGGTTTTCTTATAAATGATTATGCTAGTTTGTTTGGATATAAGTGGCATGTACTCGCAGGAGCTTACAACAGGCAGGAGATAATGTGGCGATTTATTCGTCCGGTGGTAAGAATGATGTCAGGTTTAGAGTAACATTATGGAGAGAAATGACTTACAAGGGTAGATACTCAGTAAGGATAACTGATTTGTATTTGGACAAGCACTGACCAGCGTGGATGTTAGGGCTAGCCTAGTGGTATGTTATATTACTGTTGTGTAATTAGATACAGGATACTGCAATGTAGGGGCTGTTGTCGACAGTACACATGTGTTTAAATAGCTAATGCTCTGGTCAGTGTTTGTATATATTTAGATAGTGCAGAGGTTAATTTAGAGGTTATATTAAGTGTAGAAGGATAACATCTTAGTAAGGGCAAATGTATATCTAAATATGTTTAGAGGTCAGTTTAGGAGTTATATTTAGTGTAGAAGGATAACATCTTAAGTAAGGACAAGTGTATATGTAAAAATGTTTAGAGGTTAGTTAGGAACTATATTTAGTGTAGAAGGTTTCTTTCTTAAGTAAGGGCCAGCGCATATTAAAAGAGTTCTGAGGTCAGTTTAGGAGTTATATTTAGAGACGAGGGATGCTATATTCAAGGTAGGTCATAGGAAGGTTAGGGTTGTCATGCTTGTATTACATTTAGTGGCAGGCGTGGTGATCCGTAGAGTCAATCATTAGGAAGGCTAGTGACTATACTTAGTCAAGGGGACATCGTGGACTTATATTTAGATATAAGCATCCTGAGTTCTATCTGTAGCAATTAAGGAGGTTTCTATCATTATACTAGAGTATTATAGAATATGTATACATTATGTAGTTTATCTAAATTTAGTAAGCGAGTGGTATATTTTTAGCCCTTATCAAAGGTCCTGTAAATCGATGCTTCGGGGAAAAGATTTGAGGAGCAATTGGATTAGGACTACTTGGCTATAGAGTGGATTGAAGGAGTGCTTGGATATAGAGTGGATTGGAGGAGTGCTTGGATATAGAGTGGATTGCTTGAATGGGGAATGGATTGGATGAGTACTTGGATGGGGAATTGATAGGAGGAGTTCTTGGATGGAAAATGGGTTGGAGGAGTACTTAGATGGGTGGATTGAAGGAGTACTTGGGTGGAGAGTGGATTGGAAGAGTACTTGGATGGGGAGTGGATTCGAAGAATACTTGGGTGGAGAGTGGATAGAAGGAGTACTTGGATGGAGAGTTGATTGGAAGAGAACTTTGATGGAGATTGGATTGGAGGAGTACTTGGATGGAGAGTGGATTGGCAGAGTACTTGGATGGAGAATGGATTGGAAGAGTACTTGGATGGGGAGTGGATTGAAGGAGTACTTGGGTGGAGAGTGAATTCGAAGAGTACTTGGATGAAGAGTGCATTGGAGGAGTAATTGCATGGGTAGCGGATTGGAGGAGTACTTGGATGGGGAGCGGATTGGAGAAGTACTTGGATGGGGGCTGGATTGGAGGAGTACTTGAATAGAGAGTGGATTAGAGGATACTTGGATGGAGAGTGGATTGGGGGAGTACTTGGATGGGGGGTCGATTGAAGGAGTACTCGACATTTATCAAAGACGTATTCATACGTGTCTGTAGGTGTGTTTTATGAAATTGCCTAATGTTTATCAGAAAAAAAACATTTGTAAAACTTACTTTCAGGTTTTGTCGTTTACATTCCGCCTCTGCCCACATTAAGACGGCATTGTACACGTCACTCTCGTCGTATGCTTGTAGGTCATCAGACTCGGTAATACTGACCACACAGCTCGGACACAGGTCAGCAAACGATGAGGACTGTAGTATTTCGTCCGGGGAGTAAGAAATCAATTGAAGGCATTCCGTTTTAAGATTTTCCATCAGGAACTCGTGAGCTAGCTCCAGAAACAGACAAGCATTGTCTACAGACACAGTTTGGTTCAGAAACTCCTCGCACCGTGAAACAAGAATATCTACACAGTATTTCCTGGCAACACTTAAAACCGGTACTGTGTTCTTCTCTGTTAGGTCGATTGTGTCTGTATACAGATACCTGGGAACAAAAAAAGATATTAAAACAACAAGCGTTAACTGCAACGGCCACTATCACACAGATCGCACTAACTTAGTACACGGGGTTGTATCATATCTGACCACGGGGTTGTATCTTTTCTGTACTCGGGGTTGTATCATATCTGATCTAAATCATTTTAAACCCCGAACGTTCAATTCAATACGTACTTATATTAACAATGTATTTTTTGTCCCCGTAAAATATTGATATAGGCTGATAAAAAATCATCAATTAAATTATTTAACCATTACCATATCTTGTCGACGTGGAAATTCACCCTTAGTTTATATCAAATGTCGATAAAACAAGTAAAAATGCAACTTAGTAATGACACTCTCAAAACTCTGCAGGGGGTTAAACCTAGTCGCCAATAAGGATTAGATACAATGGGATACACGTGGTCTATGCATTTTCCAATGCCGTATAGTGTTTAAGTTAATGTGATACGTGAGTATGTATATATTACAGTTTAAGAATGCTTATAGCAAATTACGAAGTGTAGTATAATCGAGGTATGTGGTTACAGGGGAAACCGTGAGAGGATACATCAAATCCTCCATCTTTTCTAAGACAGAAATATTTTCGTTTAATATAAACAACAATAACCCGACCTTGATATTAATTAAGACTAGATGCCTGAGCAACTCTTTGAATCTGAATGTATTTATTAATGTCATCAAATATAACTTCCTTGTTCAAAAACATATAAATAACAGTAAATACGTCTATATTCAGAGGGAATTTGAATTTAACTGGAGGAAATGGAAACATTTTATTAGAATTATAGTTGTTTAATTATGATGATGATACTTTTTAACAATTGCTATTATCGCCAGGACCCCCTTACATAGTCTTTTTAGCTTGGTGCCCCCCCCCCCCTCTCTCTCTCTCTCTCTCTCTCTCTCTCTCCCCCCCCCTCTCTCTCTCTCTCTCTCTCTCTCTCTCCCCCCCCCTCTCTCTCTCTCTCTCTCTCTCTCTCTCTCCCCCCCCCTCTCTCTCTCTCTCTCTCTCTCTCTCTCTCTCTCTCTCTCTATGAAAGTGTATAATGAGGACAATGACAATTCGTTGTGATCGATGAGTATGACGATGATGTGATGACCATGATGTCATATGAGAGTGTTTGATGATATTTATATATTATATATTGCTGTTGTTGTTGTTGTTGTTGCTGCTGCTGCTGCTGCTGCTGATGATGATGATGATGATGATGATGATGATGATGATGAATGTGTAGATGACAATAATGATGTCGTATGATGGTGTATGATGATGATAATGATGATGATATGGCATTTTTGGTTTCCTTTGATGGTGTGATATATTATTGTTGATGATAATGATGACATTGCTGCAAGATGATGGTTTATGACAATGATCATGATTGTGGCAATATTTTGTTGTTGACGATGATTATGATGGTGGCAATATTTTGTTGTTGACGATGATTATGATGGTGGCAATATTTTGTTGTTGACGATGATTATAACAATGACGTTACATGATGGACATATGTTGTTGCTGCTGCTGTTGTCGCAATAATATACGCTGCATTTCTTTTGTTCAAATCAAATGGAACAAATACGTGGAAAATGGCGATCTTTCGAAACCAGTTAAAGCCCTCATAGAATATACACCAATTGCAACAACTGAGTCAGCAATCATTTGAGTATCGAGTCACATAACATTGATATTCTTTTGATGCTTTTGGAAATACCGATGTATGGTCTCATCGTAATACACATTTTACATACCTCAAAAATATCCGGAAAGCATCTTCAGAGGTATCCGGAATGGTTACCTCCCCTTTCTCCGCCATTGGACCCTCAAACATGGCATAAAACACGGGACTTCGGCTGATGAGGACCAGTTTGTGAGCGGAAATTTTTTTCTTGTCTTCGCCGACAAGAAATGTGACGTCGCTAGCTATACCGGAAATGAGGATATGGTCAAAACACTCTGACAGTGTTTTCCCAGTTTGCCAGTCCAATGAAGGTGGTGCAGCGTTCGCCATTATGCCTATGATACCAATGTAACCGGGATAATATTTACAATGTATATGTTATTTTAATATGGGTCAAAGAAGTAATATAGACGGAAAAATCCCATATAACACAGGATCCTAGTGGAGGTATGTCCGTAGCATACGAATTACTTAAAATATTATATGGGGCAAAGAAGTAATTCCAACAGTGTGGACAAGTTTAGGTTGTCAAATTTTCGGAGCGATCCGCTCCTTTTTCAAGACACAGTGAAACAGAACAGTTACATGTACATATACATCATATTACAAGAAGATAATATTGATATACTATAATTGAAAATATAGCTATGTTATTTTAATATTATATATGCATAGCGCTGTGAGTCCTAGTATTCGTACGTACTGTATTGTCAATGTGCTGTGTATGTCCGTGTATCTGTACTGTCCGTGTCACGGGATGTATGTTACCTGTGGTATACATGTACCTGGTAGGTGTAACGTAAGGGTGTGTATGTCCATGTACCTGTACTGTCCGTGTCACGTGATGTATGTTACCTGTGGTCTACATGTACCTGGTAGGTGTAAGGTAAGGGTGTGTATGCAAGTGCCTCGTTTTGGTTTTATATGTTCAGTGTCTTTGTGTAAGTTTGGCGCACAAGTCATTCATATCGGACATTTGACAGCGGACATGTTCAGTGGACAGAGCTAGACAAGTAGTTCGGGGAATATAAATAATTGGTAAGTACTTAATGTAATTTAATAATTGAACTATACGCATTATTTTTCTTACTGTAATATCTATATATGTAAGTTAGAATAATATCGATTTGGATAAATTATCTCTCTTCCTGAATTACCATTTTGTGAATATCCGTCATCCATCATTTTGATGAGTACATCATTTTAAGTTAATTTTAATATCTTAAGTATATAAAGATTTCATTGTATTTCAGTTGTTGCCAAGCTAGTCAACTACAGTATGTCGTATTGACGACTCTTACCAATGTCTCATCTTTAGACCCTTGACCCATTGTTGGGGTAGGTACATAGAAAATTTACTTCGTGTAAAATTATGTATTGGACACGTATATATGATTTATTAAGTATTTAATAAATGTAATGTATTTTGTTATCTGTATAATGAAATGTATATTTCATTACTATTATTATTAATAATATTATTATTAAACTTATGATTCAAAATTTTGAGTTACTTAGATAAATGTAAAGCCTTCGTATTGTCCATATATGTTGTAACCCTTTTTAACTAGAATTTAATTGGTTTGTATTGTTTCCTTGTAGGGTCTTGAATGTCTTAAATATACTTAAAAGAAATGAAATAAATGTTCATGAAGAACGAAACCGTCTTTGTTACACCTACATCAATGTTTAAATATGTCATTTCTCAAATATCACTAACAACGTCTTCTCGTATACGAAGTGACATCATGTTTTACACAAATAATACTTTTAAATAAAATGTGAATTAGAACAGCCAGTTATCGAATCAGTTAAAAACAAGGTCATATTTTACTCCGCAATTTGGTCCCTTATGTGGCCTCACCTGTCAAACATAAGTGCACAACAATATAGCAGTGCTATATTGAAAAGAATCCCTGATGTGTGAAATTACAAACGGTAGCCTTGTTATCGATAACACATTCCAATATAAAATTCGGTGTATATATAAAGAGTGAATAGTCGATATTCCTTATTTTACCGTCACCTATGATTGTATATTGTTTACTGTCTGGGCTTCGCCTAGTTGTACTCCATTTTACGTACCAAACACCGCCATATATATCTTAGTTTGATATGTTTTGTCATACAGTATAATCACTATCGATAACTCAAGATATTATGTGAAAATATACCATAACCATGGGCAACATACCTTGTAAAATTTGCCTTTTCCTAATATAACAGCAGTGTCCTTCCGTACCGAAAGTTAAATAATAGGGTATTTCCATATGTACCCGATATAGACATAAGGGGCCCATTAGAGGGTACATGAAAAGATAGCATGAACGTCATATATAGAAGAGATGTTCTACACGTTTATACCTAACAGAATAAGATGTTTGACTTTGGAATTAAAAAAAACGAGCAAAGGTTGTCTGTTGTAATAGTTTAAACAAACTTGTTCTTTCTCGTGTCAGTAGAAAGTCGAAGGTTAGTTAATCTTAAGTAGTTTCAAAATGAGTTTGACAACATACACAATCTATAAGTATAACGGCAAATACAACAAGGTGATCATGTGCGTTTATGTGGGAAGTGTGACAACATTCCAAAGATATAGATATAACGGCCAATATCATAAGGTGATCATAGGATTGTGTGTTTTATCAGTGTAGTTTCTGCTGTCTGGTTTATTATTCAAAGCAATTCTATAGAAGTTTATAAATGGAAATAATTTCACTACAACGTTATTCCCCTTTATAAATCTATATATTTGTCATACGGCGATACTTACATTATCTTTCTTTGTGTCCCACTTACGTTCTGATTCCACGATACAAGTGTTCTTGCTGAGCATATAAGCATTGAACAGAAGATGATAGTATGTCAGCATTGTCGACATTTGTACCGATTATTTGTATTAAGTCGAGGGAGTAAAATGTAAGTTATTGTGTTGAAAAAAATAGAAAATAAATTAATATGAAAAGATTGTTTCACGGGAGAAATATGAAAAGTAAAAACAATAGTCGTTATAAAATACAATAACAGTTAATATGTATAAGTGTTAAATATAAATATCATATACATATATCATAATAAATATACCATATGTTAGTCAATATATACGTATTACACGTAAACATTGTAAACACAGACGTAATGTAAATACTGAAAACTGTTTCAGTAATGTTCATGAGAAAATGTTGTCCGGTTTTCTTTCTGCCCTTGCATTACGATAAACTCTGTGTTACATTTGGACTGTATATAAGAGTCATTTACGGACATTGACGTCACAAATATTATTGACGGGGACCGAAAAGAATTTACGCCCATAAACGGATCCTTTCCAGCAGAATTCCAGTTTCTACATCATTGTAGGGCATTTAATGCTGAGAAAGATAAAGTGATCATCTATACATTGCCGCAGGCTTACTTCTGTTTTTGAGATGTGTTAAGTCGCTAACGAATCATCGTCCCTTTGTCTTTAAATAATTTCTTTAAGTGTAATTAAACACTACCTCCACACATAATTGTAAAAACTAGTTTCCAAAATTTATATCTTGAACGCAGCATTAATTCGTAAACATTTTCGGGAAAAACTACACAGCAGGTGACAGCACCTGCTACATTATATCAGGTTACATAAGAAAAGCTTAACGCAATGCACGTGATACTCAGTGACACCGGGGACATTTATAGCATCGCTATGTTTAAGGAAGTAAATATACTATCATCTTCCCTTTTTGTGCATGTCACCGTATATGAACGCAGTCACGTGTGATTTGTATAGGTATATAGAGACGTATTCTTACACAGTTTTAATTATCAATTAGGCATTTTTATACTTTTTCATTTGAGCATTCGTTGGGATTTGCTCAGGCTATATGTAATACAGTACATGATACTATGATACAAAAAATACTCTTGATGTGTTTTCATGATAAATAGTATGTGCTAATGTGATGTTTGATGGGTAATATTGTTATTTAATATCAATACTGCTATAGATATTCGAACGGATTAAGTAGTTTAAGTAAAGACACCATTAGCACAATTGCAATGCAAATACACTAATATGAACCAAGGCTTACAATAAAAGTTTAACACGAACGAAAACAACGATACCTTCCAAAAAAAACCTGGTTAGCATCGTTACACTGTTACAGACTCATGAATATTTATAGTGTATAATGTCATGCTCCGCCATCTGCGGAATGGTTAAAGTGAATGCCAATACTATTTATTTACTTCAGGCAAATAAAATGTACAGCACACGTATAGGACAATCTAGAATTAAATAATTAATCAAGGCATATGTCATGCTCTGCCATCTGCGGAATGGTTAAAGCGAATGCCAATACTATTTATTTACTTCAGGCAATTAACAACAAACATACCACTACGTCAAATATAAAAACAACAAGTATCGCACACGGGTTAGAACACAGTTTTATTTTGTCATTAAAACAAAGAATTATCTCAATTAAACAACAAAACACATATACACCAAACTAAGCACACTTTGTCAACATTTTTATATTGCAACATTAACACTGAACATCATCTTATAACTCACTGAACATCATCTGATAATTCACTTTCAACACAGACTTTTAAAAAATCTTAAAAACTTAAACGTGGATACTGTTACTGTTCGAGTCTGTTTGAGGATACTATTGTTGTATTTGTTCATTTAATTCAAACGTTGCATTTTTTAATAATACCTCTGAAACAAATATGCATGTAAGTATATTGATAATAGTGATTGTATCCACTCTTCTGGTTGTTCATGTATCGTTAATAAGAATTGTAAAAGCAAAACATTCATATGTACAAAAAATATATCGAAGCAGAAAGAGTGATCTAATCAAAGATGCCAAAAATAAATAATTCATGAAAATAATCTTTCATTACAGGAACTTTTACTGATTATCTCATATATAAATAGATATTTTCTAATGATGTGGTACTACGTTAAACATATAACAACTTTAAAAATAGCGAAAAACATTAAACTCCACTATAACAGAAAACTTATTAGATATTTTTTTATACAACGTTGTCAGATGTAGGTTTCGTGATCCGTCCAATCTATTTACTCACAGATAGTCGCCATATTGTCTATATACTGGATCACTACTGTATGTTCGTACGCATTTTATTTCGTGGTTTGTAGCCATTTAGATAGGTTTGTGGTACAAACTATCGTGATAACCCACGTAATCAGTAGTCAAAGACGTTGTATTTATTTTCGTGGTTCTGTATAAATCATGAAAACCATGAACATTCTGAAAGAAATTGGTCTGGGTACAAACTGTCGTAGTTACCCAACGCAAACAAGACTCAAGGTTATCAATCAAATTTGTTGTTTGTTATTTTCGTGGTTCTGTGTAAATCATGAAAACCATGAACATTCTTAAAAAAATGGTCTGGGTACAAACTGTCTTAGTTACCCAACGCAAACAAGACTCAAGTTTATCAATCAAATTTCGTTGTTGTTATTTTCGAGGTTTTGTATAAATCATGAAAACCATGAACATTCGTTTGCACAGTGAACATATTATGATGTAAAGAAATTGGTCTGGGTACAAACTGCCGTAGTTTTCCAACCCAAGCAGAAATGAAGTAGATCAAACAAATTCATTGTTGTTATTTTCGTGTTTCTACAACAACCTCGAAAACTATGAACATACACATACAGTGAACAGTTCGTGTTTAAAGAAATCGGTCTGAGTATTAAGTGTCAATCTCTAGTTGACCAGATTACTGTATTGACATTAAATTTCACGTATAACTGTCATTTTTTCCTGAAAAGTCATAATCAAGACGTCAGTGATGACATGGTGTTCAGAGAGTCAGTTATCTACTGAGAGCTTCGTAGATCGTGCGCCCAATGTCTGGTATATAACAATTTAATGGGGCGCAATTCTCTAGACATGGGGCAACACCCAAGGCGAGCGTCTGTTCCAAACCAGAAGAACTTTTCGTTCCAATTTTAATGATTTGGACGTTGAATAAGAACCTTTTTTGCTGCTTCTAATGTATCACCTCGTCATATTTTGCAGTTGATGGCAGAATTTATTCCTCACTTTTAAGATATGATTCTTAATTACCGTTCTTTTGTTGACGAGTGATAATATATATTTGCGTCGCCAATATTTGTAGTATAATGCTTCTTTGTTGATGAAGGAGTCTGGAATTCTACAAAACATAAACAAACATGAAATTGAATTTTAAATAGTTTTAAAAAGTGTACAAATAAAATAACTGTGCTTTGATGATTATAGTAGCAATAAGTGAGCTAAGATTGTGTCTCAATTCAGATAGTTTGTAATTTCCCCATTTAGATTTTTTTCGAATAGTATTTTATGATTTGAACAGAATATGTATTCAACGGGGTAATTTGTGTTATTTATGATATTATTAACAGCTCAAAAGGAATGTTTTTTTTAAAACAAATATCTACATGTTAGTGAACTTTAAACCTCTGGTGTTTTTATCACGAGAATCACTTCGTTTCAAGCGGTTCAAGTAAAACGCCAAACAATTTGGCAAATAAAACAAACAGTTTGCTCCATGTAGTTGTCAGCTTGTTTTGAATTTATGCAGGGTCCAATTTAAACGGAGTCAATATTATTTGACATTTTCATTATGCGATCATATGCAGAATACCTACCAATATAACGGCCAGTCTTTGTTTCGGGCTTTTTCCATATCTATTGAATCTGAAACAACAACACAATAAAAATATCACACAATAATAAGAATTTACTTTGATAATAAATCTTAAAATAGAAACAATTACTATAATTGCAGTATTCCTCTTAAAATCTAAAACATTTATTTTATCTATATTCCACTTTCCAATCCATGTAGGGAATATAGGTAATATACATTAATGTTAGCTCTATAAATCTAATGGTATCTGTTATGTTTCGTATTCCCTAATATATATCTGCGTTTACAGCCGAATGTTCAACATGTATTTCTCTTAACTGTTATCTTTGACCATATTCTAAAAACGGTGTGGCACTTTGCGTGGCTACATCGACCATATATCATTTCGATATATTTACAGACTGATATAATCATTGTGATGATATTGTACAGAATAACATACCGAGTGACACGTTGTCGTAGTCCCGGGGTGGACTCGCCTCCTCAGATTTATCTAGATTGTTTACCAGATCGACCTGTATCTTATTGTTGTACATCATGTCCTTAGCACAAGCCTTTGAGCCATTTTCATACGTATTGCTGGCTCCTGTAATGTGACAAAGTAATGTAACCGATTGGATGAACAGCACCAGAATATTAAGTTACATCCGAAATAAGAACCATCAAAAAATATAACGGGATCAATAAAAATACACCAAAACAAAATCAACACTATAACAAAATAACACTGTTTTCCATCATTAAATATCTTGTATCATGTCATCATTCGAAATATTGTAGTTTGTCATCATTAAATATCTTGTATCATGTCATCATGTCATCATTAGATACATTGGTATCATGTCATTATTCGATATATTGTATCATGTCATCATTCGATATATTGTATCATGTCATCATTAGATATATTGTATCATGTCATCATTAGATATATTGTAGTTTGTCATTATAAGATAGCTTGTATCATGTCATCAGTCGATATATTTTAGTTTGTCATGATTAGATAGCTTGTATCATGTCATGATTAGATATATTGTAGTTTGTCATCATTTGATAGCTTGAAGCATGTCATCATTAAATATCGTATAGCATGGTATTACTATATATTTGTTGCATGTCACCATTATATATCTTTTAGTATGAGATGCTAACATTGTATTTAAAAAACGTAATGAAAAATGCATTGATATCTTAGTTTAGAACACTTTTGAAAAAACAGATGCATATATTGATAAGCAACTAAATCATTATGTTACCTAAGGAGGCGTTTTTGTAGGTGTGCGCCTCGAGGGCCTTGAAGTCCGTATATCTGTCCTCGTCGTCGTCTGGGTAGGAGGGAGAGCAGGAGGCAGCAGCACTGCACGGCCCGGGGCCCGGGGGCTGCATCTGATTGTCGTGTTCCCGGCGTCTGTTGTTCAGGTTGTCAATATGAGTGTTGGTACCCGTATTAGCTCCGTATACTGGGTTAATTATACCGGCCATACCGTCTGATAAGAAGAACAAATGGTGGAAACAGTCAAGCCAGTGACAAACTATTGGATGATGTGTACGTTTTATTTCACTATATCGATGGTTCAATGAACGTTGCTGATCTCAACAATGTGTTAAGATATAAAGACCGTATAAAGTCTTCGTGTGAAAATGTGACCCCTTCAGGTACCCCTGACATAGATGTATTACATAGTGGACAGTCACCCGGTACACATTCCACCGAGAGTGTAAACAATATATATACAGATAGCACCCGTACAGGTCACGCGTCAATAGACAGAGACACTATCGAAGATTTGTTTCGTCTGATCGTCGGTCTCCGGAACGATATGATGGACAGGTTAGATTACATGGCATACAAACACACGGAAGAAATAAAAGAGTTAAACAAGGAAATTAGCACCCTAAGAACAGAAGTAACGAACAGGAATGATATCATTATGAGGCAACAAAATGGAAAGGTAAAAGAACATGAAACGAAAAAGCTGAGGAAAGAAACAAGTATGCTGAAATCGGACATAACGGACACCACTAAGACACAGACGAAAAATGTAACTGACAACAATGACTCAATTACTAAGCAACTAAATGTACAGGTAGCAAAGAACATTGAGCTTGGAAAAAAACAATCGAATGGAAAAATAAAGGTAAACAACATTGAACATGATGGTATAACAACAGAGAACAATAATGTTATAATCATAGACAGTTTCTCTGATGTTATAAATAACAGTACACTCTCAAAATCAGACATCGGCACAACGGACAGCTATTCTGACCGGGTGAAAAAAGGTGGTATCGCGTCCCGTCGTAATAGACCAGACCCCCAGACGAGACCGCGGGAAAACAGGAAGACTAACACGCGCAAGGAACCAGACGAACAATCGAAATATGTGTTTCAGGGTGTTCAACGCAAGAAACGCACAAAACGTATACTAATGTCAAGAATTAAGGCTAACGGTTCATACAAAGAGGTCGTAGAATCCGTTATTGGATATGCGGCCGACAATGGCATTACTGTCACATATGTACGCATTTTGAAATGCTGGGACAATTACAAAGAGCCTACATATACGGCGAGAATTAATGTTATAGAGAACGACTATGATGTAGCCATACAAAATGAATTCTGGCCGCCAGGTGTGCTAGTCCGCGAGTGGTTTGACCGATTCGACCAGGACGGACAACGCTCGTCTGTAACAGCAAACCAACAAAACGATCGCGAATGGACGGGTATACAGGATGACAACTACTGGAATGCAGGATTCGCAAGTGAAAGCGGCAACAACTACGATAGGTATCAAGATGACTGGCTCAATGATTAAGTGTGTATCATACCTTATTGCTGTGTTTGTTCTTATCATTCTAGCTGCCATGAGATTACAGAGCTGGAATATACGCGGTGTTATGTTTGGAACACCTTATTTATGTGAAACACTTTGTAATTCTGATATCTGTTTTTTAGCAGAACACTGGTTAATGCCGGAGCAATTGGGCTTCCTTGATAGTATCGACAACGATTTCAAATATATCGGAAGATGTGACGACAGGATAGCAATAGAACCTGAAAATAGGAAAGGTCGTGGTTTTGGAGGAGTTGCTATGCTATGGCGTAAACATCTTAAGGTAACGCCTCTTCTTCAAGATGGCAACGATAGGGTAATTGGTATATATGTTGATATTGGAAATATGTCGTATTATATTATTGGTGTACTGATGCCGTCCACAAATTTACCTCTATGTGATTATAAAGATACCATGCAATGTCTATGTGATATGTATGATAAATATGTTGAAAATGGATCAGTAATAGTGATGGGAGACTTTAACGCTCATTTATCAAAGGAATTTGGTAGTAAAAACAGTGCTGAAGCTAACGTGAGAGGGCGAATTCTGCAGCAGTTTATGCGAGATCGATTTCTGATATCTGCTAATTCCCAAAACTGGTCTGATGGGCCAAATTACACTTACCTTTCTGGTGACGGTGGTAGGGTGTCTATGATTGACCATGTTCTGGTGCCGATATCTAAAATCGATCTTGTCGAATCGTGTCGTATATGCGATGACCAGTTTCTTAACGTGTCTGATCATCGACCTATACAATTTACATTACGCGTACTACTTTCTAAGCGTCATACTATAACACCTGACTTCTCTGTAAACTGGAAGAAGGTGACCGAGATGCACATCAATAACTATAAACAATCACTTGACGCGATGATTGAAAACACATCTTTACAGTCAAGTGACATCGAAAATATAGTGAATTTGTTTAATAATGCAGCGAAATTAACGCTGCCTATAAAACAATATAAGCATTACTTAAAACCGTATTGGAATTCTCGTCAAGTTAAATCACTGCATGCTAGGATGAGAACTCTCAGGTTGTTGTGGATAAGTGAAGGTCGACCCAGAGGTTTCGAGTTCGAATCTTATTCGAATTATAAGTCTGCTAAGAGATGTTTTCGCAATGAACTAAATATAGCTCGCGAAGACTATGAGCGTGAACAATTTGCGGAATTAGAGTCATTAGCAGAGATAGATATTGGTACGTTTTACCAGGCCGTACGACGGAAGAGGTCAATAGGGAAAAATTCACATTCATGTGAACTTTTAGTAAACGGGAAAATCACGCGTGATTCGGATATTCTGAGAGAAGCGTGGTACGATCACTTTAGTAGACTAGCATGTCCCCTAAGTCAACCACACTTTGATGATAGCTTTAAGATCTATATTGAGAATGCCGCACGTAACATGCATATAGAAAGTTATAACAACTCTGATGGTATATGTGATCATCCAGTATCTTTGCCAGAAGTGAAGCGCGCTATTTCTAATATGAACTGTGGCAAAGCGGGGGGACATGATGGATTAGTATTAGAACATATAAAATATGCTAGTAACACTATGATGGAGATAATTGTACATATGTTTAATAACATTATCGAAAGCGAAAGCTATCCAGAACATTTTAAATATGGTATTGTGATAACTTTATTCAAGGGAGGGAAACGAGATAGATTATTAATGGATAATTACAGGGATATAACGTTAACACCCGTTTTACAGAAAATTTTAGAAAAGGTTCTGTTCTTTAGAGTTATAAAGAAATGCAATGAAATTAATTTCCCTCACAAATTGCAACAGGGGTTTAGAGAACAATGCGGTAGCGTTACGGCTGCTTTCATTGTGAAAGAATCTATCTCTTATTATATTGAGAAGAGATCGAAAGTATATGCAGCTTTTCTTGACAATCAAAAAGCGTTCAACACTGTATGGATCAAAGGGCTAATGTATAAAGTGTATAAATTGGGATTCAATGGCAAATTTTGGAGAATTTTATATAACTCGTTTATTGATGTTAAAGCATCAGTGCTTTTCGAAGGCAAGAGAAGTAAGACGTACACTATAGGACAGGGGGTAGGTCAAGGTCGAGTTCTCTCTGCTTGGTGTTTCCTTGTTATGATAGACGACCTTGCTAGTGAGTTAGACAATCGAGGTCTTGGACTTACGATAAAAGATATACACGTACCATGCGTGTTATTAGCGGACGACACATTAGTATTGTCAGCCTCTATAGGGCTACTTCAAAAAGAATTAGATATAGTATATACATACTCTACTCGTTGGCGTCTCAACTATAACTCCACAAAGAGCTCTCTAGTAATATTTCAATCCCCACGTCGACGTGTGATGTCAGAAGAATGTGGGCCTATACAATGTAAAATTGGTTCCGATATAATTCCAATGACATCACAGAAAACGTACGCTGGGATAACGTTTACCCATAACCTACAATCAAGCAGTAGTATTTTTGATGCTTGTGTGAAAGGAAGGACTAACCTAAATTCACTTTTAAGTATTGGTATTCACCCCAATGGGCTGAACCCTGTATTAAGTTTTAATATTATTAAAAGTGTTGTATATTCAAGTATGTTGTATGGTTGTGAGCTTTGGAATTCATATACTAAGCAAGCTGTAGAAGAGTTGGAACGTACACAGAGATATGCATGTAGACGTTGTATTGGTCTTCCTAAAACTTCCTCCACAGCAGTGACTGCTCAGTGTTTAGGGTCATTTGATATGTGGAGCGAAGTGGAGAGAAGGAAACTATTATTTTGGAACAAATTGTGTTTAGGTGGTCCAAAATTTTTATGGAAAACACTTTTTATTATTAGACTATGTCAGTTTATGTATGGTAGTTCATCAACTACTCAAATAGGATTTCTGCCTGATATATATAACATAATGGTTAAATTTAATATAGAGTCATTTATCAATGACTATGTTCTAAATATATTCGTACCACCGATGTTATGCTGGAAACGTTTCATTAATAGATTTATATATGATTTTTATTATATAAGGTGGACAGATAAACTAAATACACGTGATGAACATAAGAGATATGCTGCTATCCATAGTGATCCGGGAATAAATCCAATATTGCAACTAAGCACTAAACAAATTTCTCAACAACATGTATGGGATCTAGTAGAGTTATTTAAATACTCAATATCTTGTGAGAATGAATTGGTTATATGTAAGATATGTGAGAAAACAAGTAAAGATATTGTGTTGCATTTTATATTAGAATGTCCAGGTTTATACTTAAGCCGTGATAAAATGATGGATGGTGTTGTAAATGCTATAGAAGTATTGTCATATGTACAGTTTTCAGAACAAAGCATTGAAGACCAGTGCAGCTTTTTACTTGGCGATCAATCACATGTATACTTGACTGATATAGAGTGGGAAACACTAATGATAAATATGGCTGGAAATATCAAAGGAATGGTATGTGAGATGGAGAGTTTTCTATAATTAACCTATTGATGTATATATAAGTGTAAACGTATATATGAAAAAGATGTATGAGGAATATATATTGTAGTGAACATTTTGTATCATGAATTATATAATGCTGTTATATGAATGTCCAATATGTCATTATTTAATACATTTACTTCTCAAAACGATGTTTATATATAAATTAAGACACATTTTGTAAAACTGTTTTGACATATGAAATCTCCTAAAGGAGGAAATAAAGAATGTCTGTCTGTCTGTCTGTCTGTCTGGAAGGTGTTAAATAGTCAGTTTTATAAGGGAAGAAAAATATCAATCTTACGTTATAGGAGGGTTAACTTTTAGCTCTTATGTTCTTGGATGTTAAGAATCGACAGTAACGATTAGTGAAATTACTTGCTGCCATGCCTGGAATAAGCATCGTACGTTGTATTCAGTTAAAGTTTGAGATTGAATGCTTATCTAGGTATTGTAGAGGATACTACAAAATTATATTACCTGCAACTGAGTGCGATTGGGTATATCAGTCGAGGGCAAAGATGCAGTAACATAATTCCAACCGAGACGGAAGCCGAGGTTGGGATGTTACAGAATCTAAGCCCGAGACCAAGATTACCCGATATTGCTCAGTTACTGGTAATTGATTTTTTCTCGCACCTATTAGTTAGAAAGAAAACTTTTCAATTTTGCTTAAGTCTACAAGTATCCCGTCTTGGGCCTTAAATAAAAAAATTACGTCTATACTACTAAGGCTACATTTGAATGCTTCTGCGTAAAATAGTAGTCCATCCTTACAAAGAACGTAGTTCACATAATAGATTATATTTGATCTACAACATCAGATATCTATCAACATCAAAACAATACATATAACGACATATCAGAATATTTAAAATGCAGATTGTCAATTTCAAGCCGTTAACGCGTTGATGAATACATAGCAGTGTCAAAATTCTGCGAAATGTCACGTAAAGGTACCAGACAAATAGGACGGGATAGAAAAATCTAGCATTGGACATGACGTGTGATATCTCTGTCCGAGATGCGAGAAAATCTAAATCTATGTACATTTATATGGATCAATTAAGTTTTTAACGGTTATTTCCAAAATAACACTGGGGACTTGTAAACGTATGTTTGTAGGATACGAACTACTTAAAATTGGCAAATGGGGCACGGAAGTAGCTATCAAAGTATCGGAGCAACCCGCTCCTTTATTGAGACGCAGATAAAAAACACATAAAAATTACCTTAAGTAAAAACAATATTTAAATACCTGTATAATAGGATACAGATATGTACATTTATATTGCTGTGACTGTCATATTATAAAGAAGTTAAGATGTAAGAAGAAAACAAAATAGGGGTAAAACACGTCCTTTATACAAGAAAACTGGCTAAATGCAAAAAGGATAAAGACACACCTCTTTATGTCTGCATTATAGGCTCTTTGCACAGACGACATGTACACACCACCCTTAAATTCGTGTGATGTAAGTTTTACAAATTATATAGCGCGCTATATACATGTTGTATCTTATGCATGCTTGCAAGTGGCTAAAGTCTGGTCCGTGATACAAAATCCCTATAATCAAGACACTTGGAGTTATCATACTGTTAGAGTGGCGTCAATGGGTTCGGTTGGTGTACCTTATCATTCCTCTTATTTGGTTTTAACTACTGTTTTCTATGAACCAAATATAAGATATATAGGAATGAAGATGGCATATTGATTTTAACGAAATGCAACATTTACAAAATTAAGATGATGAAAAATCTTTATTTATACCCTTTCCAATACCACACTTCGAACATTGCAATGGCTTAAACTTTCTTTTTACTGACAAATTGATAAAAATCAATACGTGTACATACTTCCTTGGTTTCTGGCTGAATAAAATTGGAGCGTATCAGTTTTATTTTCTTGGAGACGCTTGACTCTGTTCCGGAAGTAAAACACCAGTAAGACCAAGACGATAACAAGGATGACAGCTACCACTGACATGGTAACAACAGTCCCATTGACGCCTGATTCCTCCATTGGAGCTACTCTCGTATTGACTGTCGCGGAGGCTACAAGGAAGCAACAACACAATGAAGACACGTAAAACATCGCAATATCTTTTCAAAAATAAACAGAATCATTGGTAATCTGAACAAACCTGAACCTACATACATTGCCGTGTGTTTGTTTAAGGTCCTGTGTTATTTAGAACTATTAACATCATTTTGAAATAATGTTCAATACAGTGGTAATGATTAAGCATTTCTTAAGGTCCATTGTGTCCTATCTTATCTATTGCTAATATGAACAATAGAGTTTTAGTGCTGGTTTCCTCTTCAGTTAAGTGCCAATTGCATACCTCTTGATAGAACTGACATTATGTAACCAATGTTACCGGATTGTACTGCACGGAAAGAACAAACAGAGAGTGCTAAAGATGTGTTAGTGTTGCGGTAACAAATGAATAGAAGGCGAATCACTTGAAATAGACCGCACATTTGCATTGTATGTACTTACATATACACCCATGTACCGGGTGACAGGTTTCTTTCTTATCACAGTTACATAGCTTGTGGCAGTCCTGACCGTAGTATCCCTCACTACAACCTGGAAACACCGAACATATGTGATAAGTTACATAGTTACAAAGCTTGCGACTATTTAAACCCGACCGCTATTTGTTACAACTCCCGATCAAATAATAAATCGCATGTGACTTGTTATTCAGTGAAATAATCTGTGAGTCCTGGCCAAGGGTTTCCTTCGCTAAAACCTGGAACCTTTAGAATATATATTCAATGAGAAGTTACATAATCGTAAAGCTCGTGACAGTTTTAATTCGAGTTCTACCTGCTGCAAACCTAGCTCGGATAATACACCTGTGACTTGTTACTAAGTTGTGATTTTAGAATGTGTTTCTATAGGTTACAGAAGAGAGCCAATTATCCGCATTCAATAAAAGACATAATGATGGTTCGGAAAAGTGGTCGTTCGGATAAATGGTCACACAATAACAACACAAGCTATATATCAGGGACACGACCAAGGTTGGCATATCCAATTGGTGGAACAATCTTCGTTCTACTGTACTTGTTTAACACTTCCTAATGTCAGAAAAAACGTTAGAGTCACAGGGTTATACAGCCTTTGAACCAAGTACCCGTCACTATCACCTGGTGATTTGAAAATATTGAGTGATACCAATTTTTGTTTTCAAAATCGTTACTTTTCTTGCTTAAAGTTGAAATGTTACATATTCATCTATTTACGTAAATAATGTGTGTCATGATAGAAGCGGAATTCCCCACAATCATTGCTTATATGAAGGTACAGAGTATCTTTCGGTTTACGTCCTTCCCTATGCTACAAACAAGGGAAGCAATATATGTGTCAGAACATATGGCAAATAGCAATACACTGTGAGGGAAATTTTCCAGGATGTGTGGTATACTTTAATATATATAAAAACAAATACCACGGTTACTGCAATACTTCATACAACAACATGTAAAAGATATACAGCATGTATAATGAAATTGTAATGCTTACTCTGGGAGCACGTGAATCCCATGTAACCCGGGAAACAGTGACACGAGCCGTCTGTACGTCTACACTCTCCGCCGTTCTCACAGTTACATCTCGACTTACACTTGTATCCATAGTAACCGGCAAGACAGGCTACAACAACAATATAGTAACAAAGATATATAGTAACAACAATATAGTAACAACACATGACTCGGGTCTATAATCACAACAACAATATAGTAACAACACATGAATCGGGTCTATAATCACAACAACATTATAGTAACAACAACAATATAGTAACAACGCATGACTCGGGTCTAAAATCATAACAAAAATATAGTAACAACACATGAATCGGGTCTATAATCACAACAACAATATAGTAACAACAACAATATAGTAACAACGCATGACTCGGGTCTATAATCACAACAACAATATAGTAACAACACATGACTCGGGTCTATAATCACAACAACAATATAGTATCAACACATGACTCGGGTCTATAATCACAACAACAATATAGTAACAACAACAATATAGTAACAAC